AATCCCTCAAATGGATTACCGCGATGGAAGATGAAATGAACTCACTCCTCAAGAATAAAACCTGGATTTTAGTTGAAAAACCCAAAGATTGTAAGTTGATTGATTGTAAATGGGTTTACAAAATTAAAGAGGGTGAGACTAAGGTAAGTGATAAGAGGTTTAAGGCAAGGCTTGTAGCTAAAGGCTTTAATCAAAGGGAAGGGATAGACTACAATGAAATTTTTTCACCGGTTGTTAAATATACATCCATTAGAGTCCTATTTGCTATAGTGACACAATTTGACTTGGAGTTAGAACAACTTGATGTGAAAACTGCCTTCTTGTATGGTTCTTTGGATGAAACCATACATATGACTCAACCAAGAGGGTTTGAAGTGGTAGGAAAGGGAAACTTAGTGTGTCTCTTAAAGAAATCATTGTATAGCCTAAAACAGGCTCCTAGGCAGTGGTATAAAAGATTTGACTCTTTTATACAAGGTTTGAACTTTAGGAAATCAGAATACGATCCCTGTTTCTATTACAAGAAAGAAGGAAAATCTGATTTTTTCTATCTGATTTTATATGTTGATGATATGCTCCTTGCTGGTCACAATTCTGCTGCACTTAATTCAATTAAAGAAAATCTGAAATCTGAATTTGAAATGAAAGATTTAGGACCAGCTAGAAAGATTTTGAGCATGAAAATAAAAAGAGATAGAAAAAATGGAAAGTTGTTTCTAACACAAAAATCTTATGTTGATAAGGTTGTAAAAAGATTCTCCCTTCATGAATCTAAGCCTGTTAGTTTGCCTTTATCTGCTGGTATGAAACTATCTGTTGATCAATCGCCTAAAACTGAAGAAGAGCATAAAAGAATGATAAATGTGCCTTATTCTAATGCCGTTGGATCTGTTATGTATGTTATGGTTTGCTCTAGACCTGATATTGCTTATGCCGTGAGTGTGCTAAGTAGATTTATGAGTAACCCAGGTGAAATACACTGGCAATGCATGAAAAATCTGATAAAATACCTGAAAGGAACCAGTAACTTAGGTTTAATGTTCAAAGCAAATAAAAATGGACTTAGACTTAAGGGATATGTAGATTCAGATTTTGCTGAAAATCCGGACAATAGGAAGTCCACAACTGCATATTTCTATGTAATAAATGATACATGCATTAGCTAGAAATCCCAGCTTCAAAAACTTGTTGCATTGTCCTCAACCGAGGCTGAATACATTGCTGCAACTGAAGCAGTGAAAGAGGGATTATGGCTGAAGGGTTTACTTAGTGAATTAGGTCTTATAGAAAATCAGGTGGAGCTATGTTCAGACAACCAAAGTGCCATTTTTCTAAGTAAAAATCCTATTTTTCATGATAGATCTAAGCATATAGATGTTAAGTTCCATTTCATTAGAGATATCATAGATAGGGGTGATATTAGATTGGTAAAAATTCCAACAAAGGTAAATCCAGCAGATGCCGGAACTAAGGTAATCCCTATAAATAAATTTGTTGATTCTTTAAGATTGATTAATCTTGAAGAAGACTAATTTTTCTTTATTTTGTTTTTACAGGTAATAAAGAGCAAATGAAATGGAGGTATAAGTTTTTGAATCCACATTTAGAGACAGCACAAAACAGCAAAGGTGGAGAATGTGAAGTATGTTGCTGCTTTTGTGGAGTCCAGCCCAGCTACTTAAAATGGCCCAAGTAAAGACCCAGCTCATGACCCGATTGACAGCCCATTTGATGGAAGAATCTAGAACCAATTTGATTTTAACTAAAACACGTTTTTCAGTTTTAAGATAACAACTCTTATGGATCGTCAACACGTGGAGAATGGTGAGTCGTTGGATTGAGATGATTGAGCTGCCCCCCTTTTTTAATTGAGTCAAAAGACTCTAGGGTTTGAGAACCCTTCTTTCATATTCGCGCAGCTTCTTCTCGTTTTGAGTTTTCTCTCTGTATTTTTCTTGTGATTCTTTGGGTTATTGATCTTGAGTGATCTTTGTAGAGAAAACTTAACTCTGTGAACTCTGCGTGAGTTCTTGTTGTGTAGAGAAGCTGTTGTGTTGTGCTGTGCGAAAATTGTGGAACTGTGTGTTCCGTTGTAATCGATACTTTGTTGGTTTTGGCTGGTTGATTTAGTGGATTCGAGCTTATTCCTCCATGGATGCTCAACGGGGTTTAGGCGGTCTTGTTGATCGCTAAACCTCGGGGCTTCGGCCGAAAAATCTGTTGCGTTTTATTTTCTTCAGATCTGCACTTTTGGTCTTTAGCTGTGTGAATGTTATGTGTTGTTTGCGTATCCTGGTTCCTACAAAGAGCATACACCAGTGATCGTAGTGTTCATCGAGCTTTGGAATTGCTAGTTGGACAAAACTACTTTCAGTTGCCATTTCCTTGCTAACTTAGAAGACTGCTGCTTCTCAGGTTTCGTTCAACCCTAGTTAACATGGCTCTGATACCAGATGTCAAAAGAGCTCTGTGCAGAAAACAAGAAATAGGAAAAACGATCTTATTTCATTGAATGAACAAAGTGGCTTATAAATAGCCTTACAAAATAACTTAAATCAAAGAAATGCAGCTCACATTTAACAAACCTAAACACGTGGTCAATGACTATGAAAAGATCATAACAGCACATCCCTTAACAATAGGGAAAATAAAATAGAATACATAAACTGATTAATAAACAAAATACTAATAACTTTGACAACATGAAAAGGTCAATTGGTATTCTGAATGGTAACTAAGTTCTTTTGGCAACTTATGATAACAATCGTGGCAGAAGTTACTTGTGAGGAAGGAATTATGGTCAAAGGGATGATCGTTTTCAAACTTTAATTTAGGAGAGACATATGTTATTACTGCCTAAAGAAGGGCCACATTAAAAGAAAATCGCGAGGGACTGACAAGCATCTTGAAGCGAAGACGAATAAAGATTCTAAAGAAGATTTGAATAATACGAATGTTGTTGATTATAATGTCAAGATTGACAACGATTTTCATTTTCTTACTGATTATTGTTATCCAAGCGTCTCCTGGATTTTGGATTCTATGTGTGTTTATTATGCCCTTAGTTGTCAAGCGTCTCCTGGATTTTGGATTCTATGTGTGTTTATTATGCCCTTAGTTGTGCCCCTTTTTTCTAGATAATAAATTTTGGAATAGTGATTTTTTTATTTTTTATTTTTTTAAAGAATGTGTGGTTAAAAAATAATAGAAAATTTTTGAGTTTATACGTAGATTCATTTTACTGGGAGAATCTATAGTTGAAATGAGTTTTGAAAAAATGAATTTTAAGAAAGAATAATGCTATTCGTACTGAAAACTGTCAGTAGTCGCCCTATGTGGCATACACTTGACAATTTGGTATTTGATACATAGATATAGTAGTTATTTTTTGAATTATATATCAAATGAAAAACTGCCAAGTATACGCCACATAGGACGACTGCCGGTAGTTTTCACTGCAAATAGCATTATTCTTTAAGAAAATGGGGCTCAAACAAGGGAATGTGGCCCCACAAAAGGCGATTGAGGATAATAAATGCGCATAATGTTATGGAGTGGTAAAACCAGTAATTGGTGTTTGAACAACGAAGTATGATGATTTCAAAACGTAGAATGAGGTTTCATAAATTCTTTAAATTCAATTCATATCTACTAAAATTTTTTGGGACATGATGGCACCTACCATTAAATTCGTGCAATGTTGGGTGCTAAGAAGTGGTCATGGATTCGAAGAATTTAAGTCAACTGGCGATTATTTGGACTATTTAAGTAAAAGTAAATAGTTAAAGGTCCTTTTAATAGCTATAATTAAGTTTGGGACTGTGCAAGAACTATGAACAATCGAAGAGAAATTGAGAGGGTGAACAAAAAATAAATAAAAATTGTGTGATTTTTGCAATTAATAAAGTCTTCTTTTGTTGTAGTTTTCAATGGTTTATTGATCCATGTTTAATTATTTTCTTTTTTTTTCTTTTTGGCTCATTTTTGTATTTTGTGTTTCCCCTGCTTTTTGGTTTTCGCCTAAAAAAAAATGACAGACACCAAAAACTTTGTTATTATCCCTACATTATTATTACAACGCTAAAGTCCACCACTACGTGCCCAAAAGCCGGGCAATAATATCATCAAATTTGAAATTTACATGAATGAGACAATTATTTTCTGTCAAGCCAAGTAGATAGGATTAAGGTATATGCTCCAACCTCTTGTATTTGCCGTCAACCTGATTAAACTTACACTACAAGGGGTTGTTTAATAACAATTTTAGTAATTTTTAATAAAAAATTGTGGGTTTAATAATATGTGTGGTTAAAATTAATTATTGACTTCGATTACAATGTTTTAACCTTTTCCAAACAAGCAACAACACACATATAGTCTCTATTTAATGTAGCTAAAAATAATTTTTTTTGTGAATTTTAATAAAAAATGATGTAATGTATAGTTGAAAAGTTGTGAGCTAATAAAATTTGTAGTTAAAATTAATTTTTGATTTTCTTTAAATTTTTATCAAAATTTTAAGATATTCCAAATAGGGCATAATTTAATTTACTATGTTATCGAACATGACAATAATAGGTGTTTGGTATAAATACAATACAAGAATATAAGATTTTAATTATTTTTTTAATCATCTTTTGTACTGTCGAAAACTCTTGGATTGCTACATTTTTACAAGGTCGAAAAATAATTTAATTATTCAAGAATTTAAGTGAGAAAAGAGGGACACGATTTTTTATTTTTTATTTTTTTCACGTGCATTGAACTTTAAATTTATTAATTATTATACATCGTGCATGCCAAACTTGTACATGTACACCTCCAACTCATCAGAAATTTTAGTTCCTAAAAAATTTCAAAGAGAAAGAAGAGGTATAGTTCTACCTTGTATGCATCAAACATGACCAAATACAATGAATTTAAAAGAAAGAAAATGTTGAAATCTCATTCGTTATATTGTCAAGTCTCAAATTTTCAACAACTCGTTCCTATGAATAAAAACCTCTTCGATTCCATCAAGATTCATTTCAACCTTCAAATACTAACGGAAAAAACGGTTCTTCTTCTAACTATAAATTAAACCAAAGCCAAGGTAATTGTAGGCTGAAAATAGAACGTTTTCATTTTCCTCTCTCTCTCTCTCTCTCTTTAAGAAAATTTTCCTCTCCCCTCAACAGGTAGAGAAATGGGTTGTGGGGAATCAAAGCATGCTGTTGCAACAGAAAACACCATTAGCAAAAGTAGAAGCCAGAAATCCAATTCTAAGGGAATTGCAGAAAGCTTTGTTGAAGAGAAGGAAAAGTTATTCAAGGAACCTGGGGTGGATGGAAATGTGGAGGAAAGGGGAAGTTTGGAAGAGGGAAAGGAAAATGCAAAAGAAACTAATAATGGAAATGGAGAATCAAAGGTGGTGGAAAATGTGAAAGAAATAGAAAAATCTGAAGAGGGAAAGGAAAATAAAAAAGTGGAGGAGGAAAAAGAGGGAGGAGATGCCAAAGAAACTGATAATGGAAATGGAAAATCGAAGGTGAAGGAAAACGTGAAAATAATGGAAAATTCGAAAGTGGAGGAGGAAAAAGAGGGAGGAAATGCCAAAGAAACTGATAGTGGAAATGGAAAATCAAAGGTGGAGGAAAATGTGAAAATAATGGAAAATTCTAAAGTGGAGGAGGAAAAAGAGGGAGGAAATGCCAAAGAATCTGATAATGGAAATGGAAAACCTGAGGGTAAGGAAAATGTGAAAGACAAGGAAGAAAAATTCAAAGCACCTGTTGTGGTTGTGGAGGAAAATAAGGAGGAAAAATCTGATGACATCAGTGCTCATCAAGAGATTGTTGCTGTTCAAGAACCAGATGTAGAAAAGCTCAAGAAAGAAAATGAATCCATTATCCCAGAAGAAAATGCATCAGAAAGGAAAACGGATTTGAATGATAATGTAGAGGGAAAAGAAATTATCGAAGAGGCCAAGGAGTCGTCGAAAACTGGTTTGTTCATAATCTCCACTTTACGTTTATTACATAGCAAAAGTTTTTATCATTCTATTGAATCTACTCGTCTAAAAGTTTAAGTAGTCACGTTTATGTCTTGTATATAACACACCTTGAAGACAGATTCATAATATTCTTGTTTAGTTTCATGTTAGAGACGAAAAAAAAAATCATTATTTAAAATTTTATCTTAAAAAGGATTCATCAATGCTGTAATTTGTTTTTGTAGAGGAGGCTATTAAGGTGGAAAATGCAACAGAGGCGAAAGAAGAAGTGGTGCTGCCAATTGCTGAAACAGAAGATTCTGCCACCAAAAAGGAATAGAAAAGACTTGGGCTGCTTGAGAGTTGATTTCAGAGTGTAGGGGAATCTGAAGCCAATTACACCAGAATATGATAAAGGCTTCTTGATTGCCGCAACAGAAAATAATTCTGTATTCTTATATAACACTGTATTCATTATAGTATAATTTCCAATTTACTTTGTTAATATAAATATTTTTAAAAGTTTAAATTTATAGATAAGATGATGATTTAACGATATACCAAAGCAAGTAAGAATAATCCATCGTGATGAGTTAGAAGTCAGGATTGAATAAATGAATCATGCTTCATCACTATGTTTGAAAGACGGGTGTATCTTCCTCCCATGTCATAATGTGTCAAAGTTTAACGTAACCCTTCTTTTTACAAACTACGAAAAATAAGACATACCCATATCATAATGTGTCAAAGTTTAATACAACCCTTCTTTTTACAGACTACGAAAAATATAAACATAGTGATGAAACATGATTCATTTATTCAATCCTAACTTTGCCTAAATTCGGGTAAGCTTATAAGAACTTTTCAGGAGGATTAATATCGATCCCATGGAATGTACTAATAGTAGGTGGATATCAATTATAAATGTGTGGTTGAAATTAATGTTTGGTTTTGATTTGATAGAAAAATAAACTTATACCAACTTTTTAGCTCTAATCGAACATAACATTTATTGAAAACAGAACTTCTCTGTTATAAGTTTATGACTGCTATAATTCAGTAAAAATTGAGATATCCTAAATTTGCAAATGTCCTATTAAGATATCAAATCCTATTTCCATGAAATGAATATTCTATATGCCAAAGTCAACAAAATAATCTCAAATTCCACTATGTTTCAAGTTAGATAAAAGACGCTTGGAACACAAAAGTGAAGTATTAAATCAACTACAAAAAAAATAATGGACCAGAACAGAAATTAATAATTTATTCACATCAAGTATGAATGTTGAGTACAACAGTTATCTACAAAATAAACCTTCCCATGGGCTATATGCCCTTCAGATGGCATCTATAGAGGGAAACAATCGACGTGCTATGCGCACTTACCTCTTTTCTCGATTTCTCAAGAAATTTGACATGACTAACCTTAGTAAATATCTAAAACGAGCTACCCTGATCAGCCAGTTCTGTATTTAATTTCACAATGGGAGCGGAGGGAACTCTGGACAAGACGAGATTTCCATCAAGATCTTTTTGGACAAATGCAGAGATACGGGGATCCATCACGATTCTGCATGAGCCTGATATCTCACATCCCATTTCAACACCATAGTACGTCAAGTGATCTGAAATACTGTTCCCAGCTACGGACCTGGGAAAGGTTAAGACAAGGTCAGTGGCAGCTATTGCAAATACAGCCGCTAAACTTTGAATTACAACCAACCATGAGCTAAAGCAATTCTGAAGTAAACAATTCTTTCTTTTACAGAATTTCCAATACAGTGGTATAGACTTCAAAATGCGTTATTCTGCCCACTACCACATAAAAGACCTGACCCAGGCTCTTGCCCTGGCGCTGGAACAGGTCGTGTCAGACACCTCATAGAAAATAAAATGAAAACCAAATACTTCTAATAAAAACAATGCAGGATCTACACGAACTATTGATGTATACGTCATCTTACAGTCATTCAAACAATAACATTAAAATTTTATTTGTTTCTACCATTCATTTCCTATTAAATTTTTACAAATCAGTAGGCATAGCCCACCTAGCACAATGTCTCAGGGAGGCCCAGCCCAAAACCCAGTCGGTGGGGGTTGGATGGAGGCTGACTCAATATGCTCGTAGTGAAGTAATGTGGGTGTGTAGCGACCAAGGGAAGAAGCACCAAAGTAAAGAAGAGCGTGTGTGTGAAATCTGAAACCTCAAATGTAAATAAAATAATAGTTTTCTGAATAATTTTCCATTACTTTCTGAAATTTCTCATTGTAGTCGGAGGTAATAACTACTTGCCTGCTACATGTTGGGTCTTCCCCAGAATTATCGCAGACCTTCTCAACTGGATAAACTAAACTTCCAAGCCCTGCAGTGTAGAGCCAGACCTGAAGGATGAAGATCTTATAAGTCAAGAAAAAAACCAGCCAGCATAAATTGGAAGAAAAAGTTAGGTCAGATTATAAGAACCCTGAAATATATTTCATAAGAATGTCGTGATGTGGTCATTAATTTGAGTAATCTTAGCAGTCAAGAGGAATAAAATTATTCAAATAGACGCATCAAATTCATATGAAAATCACCATAACTTGGCGTAGATTGTACATTATAATAAATAAATAGGATAAACTAAAGCGCAACACTAAACTGGAGTGGGAAGAGTAATAATGGAAGATTTTTCTTATCAACATTTATCTGAAGAAACTATAAAACTAAAGAATAATAAATGGTAATTCACACCATGTTTCAGCATACTGGAAAAAATATATATATAAATAAATCTGAAAAACTTAAAAACTCTAACTCGTTAAATATGTGCATCATTTAAGGACAGGAAACGTGCCACTAAAAACTAAACTAGTGTTATCTGTGAATTTGAATTACGAAGAACTATTACCTCTCTTGGGAAGTGGTGGTATGTCTTTTGAGGGAAATAATAGTAGTAAGGGGGCAAATGAGGCACTATATCATGTCCATGGGTGACACGAATGGTTTTTGGCACCACTTGGCTATAGTAGGATGCAAAAACAGCATTGCCGATCCTAGGTTGCCCAAACGTCATGACCTGAACATTCTGCTCTGCAAGCGCAAGCTGAGAATATGACAAGAAGTTTTTCAGTAGCAGACTCCGGAAAATCCAAGACAATAAGAAATACAGCAACAATTACACAAAAACCTGAGACTGAATCTCAAAATTCAAATTCCACAGACATCCAAGAAATTCACAAGTTTGAATACAAATTAGAAATTTGGTGATGGAATAATTGATAAAATTACCAAAGCTTTTGAGATTTAGCTTGATAATTGAAAGGGTGCCGATGGAAAGGGATATTGAAAGAATCAATCATCAACTGTTCCTTTTTTCTTTTTTTTCTTTTTTGCTTTTCCATCTATAAACAAAATTAGCCAAAACCATGGTTTTGGCACAGCAAATTATATGTCAATTAAGAAAGGGCAGCATATTCAGGAAATGTAAGAAACAACAGAAAATATTAAGAAAGGTGAGTGCTGGATAGGTACACTGAGATCGAATCCACAAAAACCAGCCATCGCCCCACCCATTGAATGCCCAGTCGAAATAATATTAATATTTCCATACAAGTTGGTTGCCTTTTTAACTGCATTTAATACTCCAGGCCGTAATGTCGTGTTGTAGTAAGCAGAATAAAATCCATGATGCACCTAAAAAAACAAGGCCACGTGAATGTATGCATACCCATCCATATAAACACTCACTATATATATTTACGAAAGAGACACCCAATCACAAAACTTGGCTGTTCGAACCCTCGCATTATCGATTCCAGGGTAGTCTATATCAAGCTGCTTCCAGTACAAATCTTCCACCCAATTCTGGATACTGTAAAAAATAATAAAATAATAATAATAAATAAATAAAAATTAAGCATAACATAAGGTATAAGCAAACTAGTCACAAGTACACCATGATCACCATGAACTAAAACATCTTGTTATTCAATCTTAAAACGCATATGGCAGAATGATCAAAACAGGATTTGGTAATATTGCACATAGATGCAAAATAAGATGCAACATGTTGGTTTCTTGCTTAAAGACGGTTATCTTTTCAAAGGAACCAAGTTGTGTATTCCTGGTGCCTCACTTCCTTGTATGGGAATTACATGCACGGTCTAGCTGGTCATTTTGATCGAGATAAATCTGTCACCTTAGTGGAGGACCATTTTTATTGGCCCTCCTTCAAGAGGGACATGCTCGCATTATTTCTCAATGTCGCACTTGTCAGTTCAAAACGAAGAAGACTAAGCCAAAGTGACGGGGAAGGTAAGGTGGGTGTGCAAGGCCTTATCAATGATTATTTTCAGCTAGTCACAAGAGTTTAGCTCCGCTCTTCCTACGGCCCAAGACCGTATTCATTCAAAGAGCTAGCAATTACTTTCTTCCTACCCGGAAATCATAGTAAGCTAAGAGAAAGACATTCATATTCACCCAAGCACAGGATAAAGGACTCTAGCGAAGAACCGGGAACGCAATCAAAGGCTAAAGCCCTCGACCAGGGATCTTCTTGTTTAAAATATGTAAGAGACTACTAAAGGAACAACATCATAACACTGAGACGTACACTCTTCTACCATTCCTGATACTCCCTGGCATGACCTATGCTTAGATTTTGTTCTAGGTTTGTCCAAGAACGCTTGATGTCATGATTTTATTTTAGTTTTCCTGGATATAATCTCGAAGATGGCACATTTCATTCCATATTCCCAGTCTACTGATGCGTCACATGTTACTAAGTTGTTTTTCAAAGAAATTGTTTGCATATATAGGCTTCTTTACTATTGTGTTTGATCGTGATGTCAAATTCATTACTTAACTTTGAAAGATCCTGAAAAAATTGTTTGGAACTACGCTTAAACTTTCTTCCACTTTCGGCCCATACATCGACGATCAAACTGAGGTGGTTAACCAAAGCATAGGAAACCTACTTAGTTACTTAGTCAGGGATAAGCTAGAAAATTGGGATCTTGTGTTACCTATTGCTTAGTTTGTGTAAAATAATCATGTCAATAGGTTTATCAGTCGTAGCCCATTCGAGATAGTGTAAGGTTTTCATTGCAACAACCACTCGCTTGTCTTTTTGTCTATTGATTTTTGTCTTGTCACGTTTGCTCAAACTGTTGCAGACCATATTTGTGAGTTGCATGATGATATTAAACCTAAAATTTCTTTTAAGTAATGATAAATACAAACTTAGCTCTAGAACGTTTTCTCAAACATGCTTCCAAAAAACTTTATGCTAGATAACATTGCCTCTTTTCCATTGTTAAAAGGCTTGGAACTCATGGATATTTATTTGATTTGCCAACACACTTAAATATTAGTCCAATTTTCAATACAGTAGATTAATATCATTATCAAACACTTGAACGTCCAATCTTACCGTCTCCTATTTCTACAAGTCAAGCTCCTTGCCTAACCTTCTCAGGCTCCAGCAACCATGTTTCCCTTTTAAGATATTAGTAATGAGGTGCTTGAGGATCAATTTGTTACTTCCAAATAATCGTTTTCGCAAGTTTCTTATATGCTGGAAAGATTGTCCGCCTAGTGATGCTACTTAGATTAATAAAGGCGGGTTTCGTCAACAAGATAACAAGCAATTGGATGCTTATCTACACTATAGCTCACCAGAGTTGAGTGTTTTCAGCTAGGGAGACATGATGTAACACTAAGCCGGTGCTTGATTTAAAATAAAATCAAAATTTTCGTAAATTTTGATAAAAATATGATGAAATGTATGACTAAAAAGTTATGGATCCCATAAAATGTGTGAGTAAAGTTAATTGTTGACTTTCACTTAGATTTTTATTAAGATTTTAATCCACACCATATAGAGGCTAAAAGTGTATTCAAGGCGGAAAATGGGATTAAACTAATTAGGACTTCTATAATACTAGTTTGTGTTAGATTATGATTATTTTCGTGATAAGTTTAGATTTTTTTATTAATTTCCTATATAACTTAGAATTGTTTAAACCCCTATAAAAAGAGGGTTGACTCTTTGTTTTAAACACAGTTTGATTATTGAATACAAACTACTTCTCTCTCTAATTTATCGTCTCTCTCTCTCAAATTCTTCTCAATTTTCATAAACTACCATTTGTGAATTTCGTTTACCAGCTTTCTATGTCATATAGTATACAGAAGATCATTCTCTGGTTTGGATGTTAAAGAAGATGATGCATATTAAAACAGGAACTCAACCAGAGAAGTAAAATTCCTTTTCACTCATTCATTCAAAAAGATAGCACTCACAAACTTCTATTCAAGCATCAAATTTGAGGTAAAACATGTAATCATAGAGAAGATAAGATCATGAAGCACCAACATAGGCCATACCTGTTTCCCTGAGTCCCTCTGAATGCAATCACAATAGCATTAAGATCCTTGGCAACCCCAACAAATGCCTGCACCAGATCTTAACAGTTAATAAAATACTAATACCTGTTTAAAACATGACAAGATAGAAATAAGTCTTTCCTTGTTGGAGGGTTGGGAAGAGAGAGGGGGGGGGGGGGAGGAAAAAAAAAAAAAAAACAGAGTTAAATACACAACCAGGTCCTACAATGAAGATGTCAAATTTATTCCAGGATGTGAACTCATACATTCCTATTTCAAATATTGGTAACTCAATTTCAAGGTGCAGCCTACCAAACAAAAAAGCTAATCTTGGTCTTTAAGTGCATTGTATATGCCAAAACAATTTCATAAGATTCACACACGAATCAGCAATACCACAATTTCTACCAAGTACTAACCGTCAATAATTCTAAGAAACATGAAATTTTAGCACGCCACATGTTTTTATATATAATTAAAACAATGGAACAGGACAAAAAATGATGCAGTTGACTGATGAATTTATACACAAAACAACTCCATACTTATTCGCTTTTCCATTGCAAGAAATCGAAAAATTATATCTCAAAATTCAAGATTATTCACCTTTACCTTAAGTTCTGCAACCAAAACAAACACAAAAATTTTGGCAGCAATTAATAATTTTCCCCCCAAAAAAGATACTGGAAGTCAGTAAAGCAGCCATATAAATAAATATTTTAAAGAATGTCCTGAAAGGACTTTTACGAGAGCTAGAAGGCAGGTTCCCTATCCCATATGTGAATTGAATTCGACCACTGAAGCTTCAGAGAATCTATATATTGTTTATTAGCTAGCTGATTAAAAGGAAGATAGGGCTAATTCTATCCAGAGAATCAAAACAAACACCAATGCCACCAATTATTCAGTCGAACCCCTTTGTCATATAGTAATTGAGCTCAATTTCAGAATTAATATCTCCCAACCTCTAGTTAGTGCCATTCACTAAGATTAATCAAAATCCACATGCTCCATAAATTATCAAGCCGAATTCCAAATTTTCTTCAGAAAGAAGGAATATTACCTCTACCAGATGAAAAGGAAAGTGCGCATATGATAATTGCCACAATCATCCACCCCCTTCTTTCCATACTCTGCCAAAAATTTTAAAAATAAATAAATAAATAATAACAACTTAAACTCTCAAGACAAGTTAACCCCTTGATTAATTACAGAACAAATTTAGCGCAAAAAAAGTACAAAATTAACCTCCTTAAAAGGTCTGTAAGTTAATTCAATTCTTCAAATTTGATGAATTCCGGTGATCGTAAAAAGACGCAGATTTTCGGGGATGAGAAGGGGCAAAACGACGACGGATCACAAAGGCTCGACCTTTTACGGCTATGGTGAATTCGTACAAGATGAGCTTGTTGCCTCTTATGACTATGGTGAATTCCAACTTTTTAAACCGGAGAGAGACTGAAATTCCGAAGTTACCCCGGTTTATGAGACTTTTGCCGGCGGCTTATTGCCTTGGCAGGTGGAATTCTGGGTTTAAGATGGGGGTGATTTCGTAATTTCACGGAACTGGGGCGTGTAGACGGCGGGTTGAGGTGGAGATGATGATCTTTACTTCGTGGGCTCCAGCAGATCCCTTACAGGGATATCACATGGGTTACATTTCAAAAGGATCTAATCAAAAGAACACTCTGTGACATTGATAAAAAAAAAAATTTATCATTTATCCTTATTATGTTTTCTAATTACAAAAATATATCATTTGTTCAAAAGATAATAATATTCTATTTAAAAAATTAATAAATTCAAGCACTTCCACTTAAATTTCAAAAGGAAATCATTTTTCTTATCAAATTCTCCAACACAGATCCAAAAAAATTTCCTCTTCCATCTTTTTAAACATTGAAATCTCACAAAATTATCAAAATCTCGACAAAAAAATATTACTCACAGCCGGCACTCGAAATTGGTAAGTATAAATACAAATTTTTAATTTTATTTTAGTTAAATTAATACATTGTTTGAATCTTTAAATTTTATTTCAAAGTCTAATTTTAGAAAAATAAATTATTATAGTTTTAAACAGATATATAATTTTTTTAGCAAAAACGAGGAAAAAAATTCATCTGTTCAGAAAAAATCAACAAAATAGATAAGTCGATGGGTGTAGAAATGGACGAGTGAAAGACATGATTGTACTGCAATTGTGATAACATCAAGTACATCATATGCAAAAATGTACAACGAGATACAAAACTTGCCGAAAGTCGATCCCTCTGAGTACGACATAGAATTGGTGGGCGAGCATACATCCATTTCAATTCCACCTTAGAAGCTGAATTGAATGTTTTAATTGAACTGAACCAGAAACGTGCGATTTTTATTTGCGTAACTTTGATGAAGAAGAGTGTCCCCGAGAGTAAACACGAAGATTTCGATGGAGGGGATCGTAATGTGAATGAGTTTTGGGACATAGTGGACATAGTGCGTGATGATGTTGTGGTTATTCCAGAGACAGTTGTTCCTCACCATGATCTTACTGTTATACACAAAATTTGTTCGGTAGTTCAAGACAACGAAAGAAATAATGACTTTACAAATGAGAATTTCATTGATTTATCCCGTCTGAGACATGAGTCGAGTGAGAGCTCACAGGCTGGACCGAGTGCACGGTCCTCTAATTGTTCGCGTGTAGTCCCCGATGATGAAAATTTGTATGTCGAGCAACTGTTTGACACGAAAAAAGATTTGTAGGAAGTTGTTCATCGGATTGCTTTGAAACACAATTTTGAGTTTAAAGTGAAGAAATAAAACAAGTCGACTTACACAATTGTCTGTGTTGACGACAGTTGCCTTTGGCATTTGCGAGCAACGAAAATGGACAAGAATGAGTTCTTTGTAGTTCATAAGTATGCACGGGAACATACTTGCGAAGTTGGTATTCATCGAAATGATTACAGGCAAGCCCGATCATGGTTTATTGGTCAATAAGTGATGCACAAGTTTTAGGATCCACGAACAATTTATAGACCTTTAGACATTATTAATAACGTTCATCGAGAATACGGGGTGGTTATGAGCTATCAGAAGGTTTGGAAGGCCAAAGAATGCGTGTTTGAGGACTTGATGGGTTTGACCGAAGAGAGTTATGCTAAATTGGTCATGTATTTCTTTGTTTAGATGTTTATGTAATATTTATTTCAAAAGTTAATTATTCATTTCAATTGTTTAATTAACTATTTAATCAATTGTTTACTTAATGTCTAGCTAATTATTTAATTCAATCATTAATTTTAATTGTTTATTTAATTATTTATCGATTTTTTATTTAATGTGTAATTAATTATTTAAATCAATTGCAGTTTATTTAATATTGTTTATTTAATTATTTAAATTATGATTATTGTTTATTTAAATTGGTCGGGTTTTGCTATAATAATAGAAGAATTAATATTGGATCGATTTTTTTATTGAGAAGGATAACGAAAATCGCTTCAAGTATTTCTTCATGGCCCTTGGATAATGCGTTCGAGGATTTTGAAACGCAATGCGACCCCTAATCCTAGTCGACGGTACAATCCTTAAGGCGAGATATATGGACAAGTTGATTATTGCAACATGTCAAAATACTAACATTCAAATTTACCCTCTTGCATTGGGCAAAGTCAACGGAGAAAATGATCTTGCAATGCGTTGATTTTTCCCGAAGTTGAGGGAAATAATTGGGGATATCAAGAACCTTGCATTCGTAACCGACCGAGGACAGTCAATAATTAACGGTATCGCGGAAGTCTTCCCCGAAGTGCATCATGGTTATTGTATGTACCATATACAAGGAGATATGAAGACCAATTATCGAGTCAAGGGTATCGTTACGTTGTTTAGGAGAGCTGTAGCGCCTTACAGTTTTCAAGAGTTTGAAAAGTTTATGGTCAAAATAGAAAGTAAATCCTATGATGCATGAGAGTATCTGATAGAGATGGGATCGAACATTGGGAACGATCACATTTTTCAGGACGTCGATACAACATGATGACGTCGAACAATGTGGAGTCGCTCAATGCCTTATTCAAGAAGGATCGAGAGTTACCAATTCTCGCAATACTTGAGAACATTAGTGATAAGCTGCAACAGTGGTTTCATGATCATCGTAAGGAATCACAAAGTTGCACAAGTGTGCTAACCCCGGCTCAGGAAGATAAACTCTTCAAGACTCTAGAGGTGACGAGAAAAGTATATGTAGAACCACTAGATTAGTTTCGCTTCTCCGCGAGATATGCGCGTAATTTCGAATACATCGTCAACTTGAATGATAACACGTGGACGTATAGACAATTTTAGTTGGTGAGTTTTCCGTGTACACATACAGTAGCGGTGACTATGTATAGAGGAATTCCGCCACACACCTTATGCAGTGCTTATTACATGACTGGTTCTTGGAGAGCAGCATATGTCGAAACCATATTTCCTGTACTGAATGACGTCGAGTGGGAAGTTCCTGATCACATTCTCTTATTGAATAATTTGTTGCTACCAGCAGTTAGTCCACGTACTCCTGGACATACACGTACGTGTAGAATATCGTTGACCGGAGAAATTCTCCGGTCTCATAAGTGCGGCAGGTGTAGTGCAACAGGACATACCAGAAGATTTTGTATAAATCAGATCCCTCTGCATGACAACGTAACATATGTATAATTGAAGTTTATGTAATATTATTTATAACATTGATATTAATTATTTATACATATTCTTAATATTAATTATTTATGTTAATTATTAGATTTATTTTTTTATTTCAGTATTTCATTAATTAGTTTTATAGTATTTGAATTTTTTTAAAACACAGTGTGTTCTCCATAATATACTCAAATATTACAAATATGTTATGAAACATTTAAATAAACACATAAATTACAAAATAAAAATTAAATATTAAAAAAATAATATACATTTTACAATTATTTCGTAATTACAAATGAATGAATGAATGAAATATACAATACTTAAACGTTACAATATGTTCAATTATTTTTAAAAAACACGGCTCCAATAATTACGTATCACCATTAAAAACAAATAAATCACAAACTAATTTATTTTCCAATTTTGTATCCATGCCTGGTTGATTGCATCAATCTTCTATGCTACACTAAAAAATTCTATGTATTTGATGGCGAACATGCTGCAATCACCCATACAATTACAAAATATTGTATTAGCGCATCATCGTCTAACTAGAACGTAAGTTGTAAATTCAAAAAATAAAAT